GTTTTAGACAGAGATTTACAACACTGCATCCTCTCCACATTTAAATGCATCTGTAGGATACTGGCATCCTCACCCTGATTCTACACTGAGTTCCTATTAATGTGCCTGGGCATGAGAGATGAGTCAGACCCATTCTTCTGATCACTTTCATCTGGAAAACAGTGAATATGTTTCTTTGCAGGCCAAAATCTTGGGTCTTACTGGCATAACTCTGCTGCAATGACTGGAAGCCTGCAGAAAGGCTGTGTAGGTAGGATAGGAGGAAGTACTGCTTGGGCTATTTTCATCAGCAAGGATGTGAAATAAAGTATTTCCTAATGAGGATTTGAGGGGATTTTTATATCACTTGAGTTCTGTCACTAGATCACCAGAATTCTCACCTAATGATACATGTAGACAGCACTGTAGATCAGACATGGTGGGGAAGGCACATGCATTGTGACACAAGGCAGCTCAGGATGGTCCAGGGGGTCACTTGGACTGAGTTAAGAAGGAGCTCACAAAAAAAGTCACCATCCCCTATCACCCAAACACAGGCCATCCACTTGACCACATTTCAGATCAATATAGTAATTGTTTAAGTAATTATGGTACTGTTTGCTCAGGTGGCATTCATTTCTCATTACAAGATTTCTGCCCTGATAGATTAGAGGTACTCTGGTCTATCTTGGAGCTGAAAGGTTGTACCCTTTCTGGATAACATTTGTAGGTAGAAGAGAAAAAGGTCATTCATAATGATTTTTCTGGTATACTAGCTTAGCTACTCATTTGTTTTATCACGTGTCCTTTCTGACACAGCATGAAATAATAAGAGAGTTAGATTGTCTTTAGGGAAAACAGGCATCCAGCTCGCAGAAGACATCAGTTTTAATAACACAGTTTAAAGGAATCCTTTCAATATATTCAGGGATTTGTTCACCAGTTTGGGTTGAGCTGCTTGCAAAATAGATAGAAGAAACCTCTCTGTGTGATATAACCAGATGCCATTTGCAGAGCCTGTGACATATGGTCCTTCAGACGTGGAGATAATCACAGAGGATAATTCTTGAGAGCCCATTAGGATTCCAGAGTAGTTGTCTCTGCCATGTGGTTCTTGCTGATGTCTAAATATAAATTCACTCACTTTATTTTCAAAAACACAGCTAAAAGACTTTTAAAAGGAGTGGCATGAAAGCAAGAAGTATCAACCCTAACTACTCAATCAAAGTGAGAAATATGTTCCTGATTCCATCCAACTTCAAGGCAAATTAATGAACTAAATAGAAATCTGCAGCTGAAACTCAGTGATATGAGAATAATCTAATTTTCCACAATGAATGCAATGAGGATTTCAAGGGAGCCTACATAAGCTTTTGTTCTATACAGGGGGTTGGGCTGGCAGTAGGTACACCTTGGTCTTTGACCTCCCCTCCTAGAAAAGAAAAAAAAAAAAAAAAGGAGTGAAAATAACAATCAAGCCCTGTTTTCAGGATAAGAAGCAAAATCCATAAAGCTTATGCTGTTATCACAAAAAGTATTTCAAAACTATTTCTTAACACAGAGGCTCTAAAAGTACTGGCTTCCCCAGCTGTGCACAGGGGGCCCAGGCTGGTATTTCCTCGTATGCCGTTCCCATCCTGATCTTGGTACTCCAGTACTGACAAAAATAATTCTCTGAGAGGAGAAACCACAGCATATGGTTGCAAGTGTCTGAAACACCAGTGATGCCTACACTGCACTTCTTTACCCCACGCAGAAGAGGACTAGAGCTTAGCATGTGTGTTTCTTTCCAGCTAGTTCCTACCACCATGCCTGGGAAAGGTACTGGGGATACCTATGATAAGGAATGTTCCAAAGGGGGTGTAGGCAAGACTATATCAGCACTGGCTTGACACACTTTCTGCAGGCTTTGCACCTACAGGGAGCACAAGCCTTCATACATATCACTGGACACATACAGCCACAGCATGGCTGGCCTATAGCACAAACCTCACAGAGAAGATCATGGAATCATATCATAGAATAGTCTGGGTTGGAAGGGACCTGAAAGATCATCTAGTTCCAGCCCACCCTGCCATGGGCAGGGACACTTTCCACTAGACCAGGTTGCTTAAAGCCCCATGCAACCTGGCCTTGAACACTGCCAGGAATGGGGCATCCACAGCTTCTCTGGGCAACCTGTGCCAGTGCCTCACCACCCTCACAGGGAAGAATTGTTTCCTAATATCTAATCCTAATATCCAATCTCAGACACTTTGAATGAAGCCCATGGAATACCATTCAAAGTTTAAGGATGCAGGTTCACCTGAAGACCAGAGCCTGTGCAATGCAAATGCAGTCAGTATGCTCTGGAGAGGACTTGCCTGAAATAGCAAGGCAGTTTGTGCCCCTTTATCCCAAGTCCAGAGTCCGATTCCTTGCCAAGTGAGCAGCATAGAAATAACCAGTAAATCCCTCCACTGCTTTCAGAAACCAAATTAAATAGGCAGCTCCACAGACCAGGATCTATGGAGACAGAAGTTTCACTGGACAGCAGAATACTCCTGAAACAATCTAGGAAGGTATGAAGGGACATGGTATCATCACTGGAAATACTGAACTAAATATTTGAGTAGTTGTCACCACAGCAGCTGAAAGATGGGAAAGAAAGTCCTACAGACTTCCTATAAAGTCTGTAGGAAAAACGTAGCACCTTGTATTAAGCCAGCTGATGAATCTGTATCTCCCATAATATATTTTCTGACCTACTAGCTGCCTCTCTTCTGACACAGGGAATCTTCCTTGTGGTTTGTTCTTTTTTTTTTTTCTGTGCAATGCAAAAGAAACTAAATGAAATTGCATCTTTTACTGTACAGAGGGTCAAAGTTCTGGCCTTATACACCCATGAAAGCAATATGTGTGAAAGTGTCACAAAAGTCTTCCATGGGTATTTTTAAACTGATACAGCTTCAAAACTGCCTAGTTGCTTGACAACACCCACCTCAGCTGGATGAAGGAGACAAAAATACCCTTGCTGGAGGTAGAATCGGGTCAGCTTTTAACAAACATGCCTTACTTCTAGGGCACACTCCATTTGTAGCACGTATCTACTTGCTGTGTAGCATAATTGCCCAGTTAAGCTGTGCAGATAGTGTCCAACAGACCTTTTAATGTATTTTAGATCCAGCATATCACAGGCTTCTTTGTTCACTCAAACAGAAGAGTCCAAAAAAATCAGTTATTTTGGTGATGATTGTTTAAAGCATCATGTGCAGAGCCTTGAAACCTGTGCTTCAAGACATTAGCAGGTAAATGGGGGAGAAAAGACTGTTTCCAATTCACTTGTAAAGGTTTAACTGCTTCACAGCTCATCTATGACACAAGGCAGAAACAAATTTACATTATCATCCTTGGGAATGTGAATTTTGTGCATCCCAGAGTAACACAACATCCTCTGACTTGAGGAAGAAAATAATATGAGCCACTAATTTTTCATATTTGTCATTCCATCCATTTTAAGAAATTAAAGTTCTTGAAGTAATTTAAGAAATGAAGTTCTTGGGCATTGGTGGTTTAGTGGTGAGCATAGCTGCCTTCCAAGCAGTTGACCCGGGTTTGATTCCCAGCCAGTGTAGAGCATCTTTTTTAGATTCTCCTGGAAGGCATGCTAAGGCCCATGAAAAACAACAAGGTGCTTGGTGACAGCCAGCATGGCTTCACCAAGGGGAAATCCTGCCTGACTAATTTGGTGGCCTTCTATGATGGGGCTACAGAACTGATGGACAGGGGTAGAGCAGTTGATGTCATCTATCTGGACTTGTGCAAAGCGTTCGACACTGTCCCACACAACACCCTTGTCTCTAAATTGGAGAGACATCAATTTGATGAATGGACCACTCGGTGAATAAAGAACTGGCTGGATGGCTGCACACGAACAGTTGTGGTCAATAGCTCAATGTCCAGCTGGAGACCAGTAACGAGTGGTGTCCCTCAGGGATCGGTGTTGGGACCGGTCTTGTTCAACATCTTCGTCACTGACATGGACAGTGGGATTGAGTGCGCCCTCAGCAAGTTTGCCAATGACACCAAGCTGTGTGGTTCGGTTGATACGCTGGAGGGAAGGAATGCCATCCAGAGGGACCTTGACACGCTTGTGAGGTGGGCTGATGCCAACCTCATGAAGTTTAACCAAGCCAAGTGCAAGGTCCTACACCTTCATCGGAGCAATCCCAGACACAGCTACAGGCTGGGCAAAGAGATTCAGAGCAGCCCTGTGGAGAAGGACTTGGGGGTGCTGGTCGATGAGAAAATGAACATGAGCCGGCTTCAGTGTGCGCTTGCAGCCCAGAAAGCCAACTGTATCCTGGGCTGCATCAAAAGGAGTGTGACCAGCAGGTCGAAGGAGGTGATCCTGCCCCTCTACTCTGCTCTCGTGAGACCTCACCTGTAGTATTGTGCTCAGTTCTGGTGTCCTCAACATAAGAAGGACCTGGATCTGTTGGAACAAGTCCAGAGTGGGACCATAAGGATGATCAGGGGACTGGAGCACCTCCTGTATGAAGACAGGCTGAGAAAGTTGGGGCTGTTCAGCCTGGAGAAGAGAAGGCTGCGTGGAGACCTCATAGCAGCCTTCCAGTATCTGAAGGGGGCGTATAGGGATATTGGGGATGGACTCTTCATTAGGGACTGTAGTGACAGGACAAGGGGTAATGGGTTAAAACTTAAACAGGGGAAGTTTAGATTGGATATAAGGAGGAAATTCTTTCCTGTTAGGGTGGGGAGGCACTGGAATAGGTTGACCAGGAAAGCTGTGAATGCTCCATCCCTGGCAATGTTCAAGGCCAGGTTGGACAGAGCTTTGGGTGACATGGTTTAGTGCAAGGTGTCCCTGCCCATGGCAGGGGGGCTGGAACTTGATGATCTTAAGGTCCTTTCCAACCCTAACTATTCTATGATTCTATGATTCTAAGTACTTTCATTGAATTCATTTAACAACAGAGAAACTAGAATGAAGACACAGGATTCCTAAGCTGCAGGAGATACTGATCACCCTGGATTTGTTTCCTACAGAAATGACACAGGAAAGTGGAATGTATGAATGAAAGGAACAAAAGTTTGCACAACTGTGATTCAGGAACTTCTGGATTAAAATAAAGCATTTCTTGGCGTTCCAAAAACAAGTCTTTCTCTTTGATTCACTGGCCTGAAATGCAGCTTCTTGTTTTGAGTCAACATTAATCTCTGTGTTCACTCCAGATGCCAGAAAGACTTTTGGGAGTTGTCTCCCATCATCCTCTTGCTCTCCCAGATGGGAATTGCTCCCCAGCCAGACTGTATTTCCCATGGCCTCTCCACAGAGCAGAGGTGTAGAAGCATCCTGTGATGTATCACACTGACTCAGCCACAAGGAGAAACAGCCATTGGTTTTCATTTTTCATAAGCCCAATTTCATCAGTCTTTTCTCCTGTGGCAGATTTTGATTTTCATGAAACCACTTTTCCTCATATAAAAAAATAGGTGAATTTTTGCTATGGGCTATTAAGCATCCCTCAGAAAACAGATCTGAAGAAAGAATGAATGAAGATCTATATCACTGAAGGCAGATTTTTGCCTGTGAAGAAAACAAAAAATAGTATGTGAATTAATTTGGTAGCTAATTCTTCTTCTAAAATGATGGAGGTTTATTATGCACTCATTTGTATATGTAACACTCAAAGACAGATTAACATGGTCTGAATTTTATAAATTTGTCTATATATTTAAATAGCACCATGACTTACTTGATTTTGTATGACATTGTTTGAATTTTTAGAATTGGTATATATATTTACTCAGGAAAATGCACAGTGTGAATGTCAAACTTTGGAATAAAATCTGTTGTTCTTGTTTCTAAGGGACAGATTCAATTTAATTAACATATTTTCCAATAGAGATGTATGGGAAGAAAACCACTTTTAATACCCACGGCAAAATAAATTATTTAAAACTTCACATTCCTCACAAATTCCAGTCCTCTTTTTGTCTAACAATTATACACTCACGAATCTTAATTATCATAAAATATTGTGTAATAAATGACTTGCTGTCCAAAAAGTCAACAATTTTCAGAGCTTCTTTTAATTTACTAATTTCTCTTAGTTATTGATAATCCTAGTCGATCGTAACTGGCCATCTGAGACTGGTTGATTTTGTTACTTGGTTGGATGACATCCACTTGGTTGGATGACATCCAATCTGAATGAGAGGAAGAACAAGTAACAAATGATGGAGAATTAGAAGTGCCAAATGTATTTATTTTTTATAGTCACAGACAGTTTCAATTATTCCCTCCAGTCATTCTGGTATGAGAACAGATCCGATCAGCATCACAGCTGGATTTGTCCAATCTACATACAGGCATGCCAGGGTAACCCTTGTCTTGTGTAAGATCCTGGGCATAGGCACTGTGTTATAGGTTGGAGACTGGAGCTCATATTTCCCTGACAAACTGCAGAAGAAAACCCTAGAGACATATATACTTAGGGATAGAATCACAGAATCACAGAACCATAGACTGTCCCAGACAAATAAAACCAGTTTAGAAACTGGGATCTCCTTGATGCCCTTCCAGAGGTGTCTGATGAAAAGAAAAGCAATGAAGATAAAGTCTCCTCCTTGCTAGACACAGTTGCTCTTCAGCACTGTTCTGCCAAGGCAGGGGGAAGGAAAAGCTTCATGCTGGATTTGGAGACAAAGCGCTGTACAATAAAATAGCAAAGCACTATTTATACAAATCAAAAATGTAATTCGAGCTTCCCTCACCTTTCAGGGTGGATGCCTAGAGGTTCTGACCACACATCTATGGGAACCCCCTGGGTCAGAGACCCAGCAATCACATCTTCCCAGCTGGGAAGAACTGCTGCAGGGAGCAGGAGCACACAGCAGTGAGCAGCAGACTGCAGGCAGCACCAGCACCCTCACCTCGGCACGGCGGGGGATCGCACGAAATGAAGGAGGAATCTCCTCCCTCCAGCTTTAGCAGCTGAATTCCCTCACCACCACGCTGGGAGCTGGCGAGGAGGACAGCCTGCGCCAGGGCTGTCATTATCGATGTAAATTAAACAGTTACCACCGCAGGGTGACTCTGTTCTTTTCCCTGAGCAGACAGCTGCTCCAGAAAACACATGCTCAGGCTGCTCAGGCTGAAAGGAAGAGCCACAGAGATTTTATTTATAGATGCAATAGGCAGGTGTTCACGCCTAATGCCTGCCCAGTAAGAGATGGAATTGTCTCTTTTTGCCCACGACATCTACAGACTTGATTACTTTCTGTGCACATAATGCATTAAATATACTCTGTACCTCTCCCTTCCCATTGGGATTCAGTGCATAACCTCCATACAGCTGTGTTGCCCTCTCTCCTGCAACAAAACGTTTACTCATCTTACCAAGACAGAAAGAAAAAGTACCGCAGACTTTGGAAAACTAAATGCAAATTGAGGAGTTCACACTGAGCTGTGCCTGGTGTGTTTCTGGACAGCAGGAGAGTGTCATGCAACGAAGTTCTGTCCATCACTTTAGTATGAAACGTTTCATCGAGGTTTAGAAAGCCAGGTATGAAATATTAATTAATTACTGCTAAGTCTCACTATAATGTTCTGAAACTGGCACAGCACGGTTTTGTGCAGGTTCTTTTCAGAAATTATTGGCTTTTATTTCAGCTACATGATCGTAGCACTGCATAATTTATATGTGTAAGAGCCTTTTGTAGGGCACATTGGTAGAAAATCTCAGAAGTACCACAGAAGCTGGGATCTTGTTAATATTAACAAGGATTTGGGAGGGCTGGTAAACAGACACAACACAAGCAGTTCCACTGCTTGTGCCATCCATGATTTTGGTAGCAGCAGGTTTGCTACAATGACTTGTGACAAAGCAAAACTAAGCTCTCTAAAATGGAAAGAAAGGACACCTTGCTGTTAATGCAAGATGCCAGCTGCACCGTGGCACAAACATGTTTTGAAATCATATGAAAATGAACTTTAAAATGACTTTCATTTGAGCTGAGGAAGAAGGCAGATTCTTTTGGGACTGCAGTGCTATACGCCAGTCACCAGCAATGCAGAGCACAGAAGCAACTCCACTACAGACTGCTACTGACAAAATCAGGAAATGCTTTATCCATGCTTCTTGCTTAGAACGAATATTCTGACACACCATTTTTACATTAGTGAAATGCACCAGCAGAGTGGCAATAATTTACAAACTCTTCCTTTCTTTGGAAATAACTCTTTCATGTTTGGAAAAATATCCACCGGACAGAGTGGAGAGTGCTTGGGGGGTTCCACCACAAGGCACAAGCAGGTAAGCAGCAGTGATGAACAAGTCAGGCTCCAGGGGTGACATCAGTGCTGCCTACCTAAAAACTCAGTTCCCATCCCAAGTCAGGTATCCAGACTTCTTTGACAAGAGGACATCTGCTTCTCCTCCTGAGCTGCAGAGGGAGTCTCAGTGACAAGCTTCAGCTGTAGCTTTGCACAGCTACAGGTGGTTGAGGGGGATGTGAGGGTTGTGCCAGGACAAAGAATAAAGCTCCCAACTCTTTGCTTTCCAGCTCTACAATTAAACTGCTAAAACATGTTGACAATATGTCTGAATCTTGTTGGAACATCTATGCCACAAAACCAGCTTATGCCTGCTCCTGGAATTATTTATAATTAGATGTAATTAGGATGTGGACAAACAGACAGGCTCAAATGGGTACAGAGGCCTGTCCCTGTGAGGGCACAGTTTTCAGAGCAATCAAACAACAATTACCTTTGTAAGCACTAATTTTCATAGCTTGATGAAGAAACGTAAACAATAGCTAAAGAATTCTTGTCTTTTTACAGTTCTGCACCCCCAAAAGGCTGACTGCAATTAAGGGCAGTTTGAGAAAGCCTGTGTGCTGTTTCACTTGCTTAACAAGGTTGGTGCAGCGTGGACCACCACCCTGGTCGGCAGTGTGCACAGGGCTATGCCACTCTGATCACGCTATCCATGGAAAAGTGATGGCAACCCGAGTAAGCACAGTTCAAGCAAAAGGGTCTCTGGCTGCAGGCAACTCCCTGGAGACAGGTTCAAAGAGGTGTGCTCTGTGGCTGCATGGGAAAGAGATGCAGCAGCAGAGGTCAGTGGGAGGCTTGGGACATTGGTGGAGGACAGTCCCTGAGTCAACACAGCATCTCTCCCTGCCTCTGACTGCCCTCCATTGATACTCCTGGCCCATGTGCTTCCTCCTTGGCATGTATGGGCAGAGAGTAGCTGTATGTAAGACTAGAGGCACAGGGCAAACTGGGCTAGGAGACCACACTGAGAGCCAAGCTATGTGGGGAACACACACCACAGACTGTGCTGAGACAGCCTGTCCAGACTCTGCTGGAGACCTCCACCTCGCTGCCATCTGTGCTTTCAACCCATCCCCCAAGCATGGACAATGAATCCAAACACAGAGTGCTACTGATTTCTATCAGAGAGAAGCTTTAAATGGAAGCGAGATGCTTTGCCCCTCCCTATCCCCCATTTTACTGGTGAGGAAAAAGTCCTCCGGAAAATAAAAAGTCTCCAAGGAGTTATTCATGAACACAGCACTGCCACAGCATCTCCCGTGTCCCACCAAGCAGTCCTGCTGGGGGGACAAAACAAAGCAAGTGACACAAGAGGCAACTGTTTTGTCCTAACCTTACGGCACAGTTGAACAGCTGATGAACTGGAGGGGAAGGGTGATAAAAATAATAAGAATAGAAAAATTGCTACAGTATCCCTGAGGAAGGAATTCAGTGGGTATTTCTGGCTGGTACATAAGGAGGCTGCTTCTATGTCAGTCATGGGTTTTGCTTTCTGCAGGTTCCCTACAGGGATGTAGGCAGGTACCAAGCCTGCTCAGCCTACAGGAAGAAGCAACTCATGTCTAGCAAGTACAGCCAAAGCCTCAGTCAAAAATAGGCTGGATCTCAGGATTCACTCCAACAGGAAGAGGAGGCACAGATCTATCTTTTGCAGGTGAGCTTCTAGGAAACTGGAAATGCATCCGAGAAAGTGTAGCTTACCTGAGAGGCAGCATTCAAGACAGTGAGCCCCTGCTTTTCTCCATGCACTCTGCATCAGAAGTTTTGCAGGGAGGCTAAAGCAAAGGGAGAAAGGGAGGCAAGTTTTGGCCAGCAACACCCCTTGCTGTGGAGGCTGCACAAGAATTTCCAATCAAAACCCTAAATTGCAGTCCAAAATTCAAATATATGTTCAGAAACACATATTTCCCCCGGATTTTTACGTCTCAGAGGTAAATTTTCAGATAGAGTATAAAAATATCTTCAAATCCCTGAAGGCATATGGGCACCTTCATGCTGACTGGAACACAGTGGATGGGGTAATTGTTTAACTTCTGCAGGTTTTGGCAGTAACAGGTTATTAAGTCAGCTTGGATCTCACTCCATCCCATGGCCTCTGGTTGCAGATCTGAGGATTTGCTCCAATTCTGCCTATTTACTTTGCTGTAATTAGTTTCTTCATCACAACAGATTTGGCCTCTCACCTGCCAGTGCCACATTTTATCAGTGGCTCCTCCAGAGTTCACGTGTGCCATCTCACCCTCACC